TTCTCTAAATACCTCTCCTTCTAAATCTTTTCACTGACTGTAACAGAAATGGCCTTGTCTGGGAACAGCTAATAACACCAGTTCACTCTTTTTCACTTCTAAGCCTGTGGTGTGTAATTTTCCTGTTCCTGTAGTAACTAATGTTAAAACAAAACAAAACCCGAATAATTGCCATTTCAAAACATTGCTCTTGGGTGCTTCTGGAATGCCCATCCTCTGCTTTTGACATCACTTGCTTAGTATGGAAAGGAGGAGAAGGAGGGTAGAAATGCTGTGAATAATTGGAATGAAGCTAGAAAAGAAATCTTTTCCTATCAGAGGAAAGTTAATTGGCTTTGTAGTATGAAGTCTCTTCATGTCACAAGAAAAACAGTTGCACAAGTAAACCTAGGACACTGACTTGCAGCCTAATACTGCTGTTATAAAACCAAAACCAAAGTCCTAACACAGGTGAATGGGTCCAAATTGCACAGTTACTTGTCTGAAGTGAATGACAGACATTTATGATGCACACTGAAGAAACCATGGCCTACAGGGTTCTATGGAATTCCATTCAACATTGTTTGTCACACAGTTACCAAACAGGAACTGAGTGATCATCTCAAGTGAAATAGTATGTGTTTTAATAAAATTAATGAAATAAGGCTTAATAACACTGCTCAAATAAATAAATCTCTCTTCTTTCAATAGGGAATACTGACAAAGCTGATGAATTATTTCAAGAAGCATAGTGGTGCTGTTGCTTCAGCAGCTGTTCCTGAAATATTATATACTTCCTGAAAATATTTTGCCTCATTGTTCATTAGTGCATCCTAGCTTTTTTTTTTTTTTTTTTTCCAAAACATAAAATCTTTTCCCCACCTTATGCTGACAGCAGAAAGAAGCACATCAGTGTCACAAGGACCACTGAAAACTGAGCAGGAACCCGTTTTTACAGAAATACCAAGAACTTCTTCATTTAAAATACAGAATACAGAAGAACTCAGACCATTGGAAAAAATAGGTAGAAATAGGACACTTCAATTGAAGTGGCTTCTATACCTTTCTGACCATTGGAAGGCATTGCTGAAATGTCTTTTTTTTTTGTTGTTGTGTTTTTTTATGAGGACCTGTACCAAGTGACCTTCAGCAATGACAGTAAAAGTCCTCTCTCTTTGTTAGAGGTGCAATTATACTTCTGGAAAACAGTCCAGGGAATGCTCAGCTAGATGATAAGTACTTGTATAATTCAACTTTCTTGACAAAACTTACTTTCCAATTTTTGTCTTCAAATTCTTCTCTTTATGTGTGTATTATTTAGGAGTGAAATGTATATAGGTTATCCTGGTGCACCCCTTGCTCTTCGTAGCTGTTGGTGTTTCTCAAAAATTCCCTTTTCTATTTCGTGCTACATGATTTCATACTCAAAATTTCCAGATTTAGCAAAACTGCAGCAGAAATGACTTTTCTGATAAGTACTGATAGGCGACTGATAGATTTAAGTGAGAAATAACAGCTTGCAGAGCACTTCATATTGTTAACTGAAGTGCAAGCCAACTAAATTTTCTTCATTAGTGTTATTGAACAGTTAGTAATTTGTGCAATTTCTGTGCATTTGGCAGATGCTGGGGCTGTGTGAAACGGGATATCAATAAATGCCAAAGTCTATTGATGGCTGGTGTGTGGAGTTCACGCTTCCTGACCCAGAGAAGAAAACGTGACAGAAAACCTCTGTCCCAGAGAACAAGGTGGCTACCAAAGCACTGTGGACAAGAGCTGTGAATACCTTGAGTCATTCCTTGCAGAGCTGCAGCCAGGGACCCTTTTGGGGTCATTCTTTATAGTGATGCAAATGTGAGCAGAAGATCGAAGTCACCAATGAAATCATAGCAAGGATACTTCACCTTTCTTCTAAATAGGCCTCTTGGCCCATTTAGAAATCCATTTTATGTAATCGTGATTTATAATTGGTTCATGTGGTCTGTTACAGATCTCAAAGGACGCTTGATAAATCAGAATACGGATTTACATGCACCAGTGCTACCAGAATACTATGGTTGTCCAGCCTCTAGAACAGCTGCTTTTTATTCCAGCAGAAACACAAACATCTGTCAGAAATTCTCTTTGTACTTGGGTATTCTGGTTACTAGTGTTGTATGTGAGCCATCAGGATGCTTCTGGGTTATTTCCCATTCTTTTCATTCACTAACACTCCAGACAGTATTTATAAGGTACAAGAATCTCAAGCTTGTGTTTTAGTATTTAAAATTAAGAATTACAGAATATAGTTATTTGCGTATCTCTATTGGTACTGATGCACACTGTTATGGAGTATTATTCTGATATTAAAGACAAATGATAAATCTGAGCACTTAATATAGAGCAGATCTGTTCAAGAGCTCATATGAACAAGGGAAAGAATGCTATAGTGAGTATAACGTGTTCCAAAATCAAATTAGCTCCCAGAGGAGTTGTAGTTTTCTGCCAGCTCAGTAAACGTTGTACCACCTTCCCAACATATGCGTTAATTGAAATAATGTAAGCACTGCTTATGTCCTTCCCTTATAAGCTACTTGAAGGGAGCTTATAAACAGAAGGGAAATTGCCCAAAAATTATGCTGGGAGTTATTGAAAAACACCTGAAGGATAATGCAATCATTGGTTACAGACAACATTTATTCACGAGGGGAAAGTCCTGCTTAACTAACTTGATTTGCTTTTATGATGATGTCACTATCTAAATGACCAAGGGAAACCAGTTGATGCTTTTGGATTTCAGTAAAGCCTTTGACAGTGTTTCTCACAGTATTCTTCTGGACAAAATGTCCAGCATGCAGTTACAGAAACATAAGGTGGTGGGTGAGCAATTGGCCATCAGGTCACACCCAAAGGGTTACAGTAAACGGGGTTGCAATCAGGCTGGTCACCGGTCACTAGCGGGGTGCCCCAGGCTCCATTTTAAGACCAGCTCTCCTTAATGTTTTCATAAATAACTTGGATGTAAGACTAGAAGTTGATTCGCATGAGTTTGCTGACTATACTAAATTAGAAGGAGGTGTTGACTCTTTTGAGCGTGGGGAGGCCTTGCAGAGAGATCTAGACAAAGTAGAGGGCTGAGCAATCACCAACTGCATGAGGATTAACAGGAGCAAGTGCCAGATTCTACACCTGGGAAAGGTGGCTATACGTAAAGAATGGGGGATGAGAAGCTAGAGAGCAGCTGAAGGGGATTTGGGGGTCTTGGTCAACAGTACATGGGTCAACACAGTGCCCAGGCAGCCAGGAAGGCCAACTGTATGCTGGGTTGCATCAAGTATGGCATTGCCATCCAGTCAAGGGAAATGATTGTCCCATTCCACACTGTGCAGGTATGGCCTCACCTTGAGTGCTGCGTGCAGTTTGGGGCACCACAATATAAAAAGGACATAGAACTATTTGAGAGTGCTCAAAGGAGGGCAACAAAGATGGCACATGGTCTAGAGATGCACTCTATGAGGAGTGGCTGAGGTCCTTTGGTCTGTACAGCCCAGAGCAGAGGAGGTTGAGGGGAGGCCTCATGGACGACTGCTGCTCACAAGGGGAGCAGAGGGGCAACGCTGAGCTCTGCTCTCTGGTGACAGCAACAGGGTCAGACCCAAGGAATTGGCATGGAGCTGCATTGAGGGAGGGTTTGGCGGGGGCTAGGGAAAGGTTCTGTACCAGAGGATGGTGGGCATGAAACAGGAAAGCGGTCACAGCACAGAGCCTGTCAGAGTTCAAGAAGCATCTGGACAATGCGTTCAGTCATATGGGCTGATTTTTGGGTGGTCCTGTGTGGAGGCAGGTGTTGAACTCCACGATCCTTATGGGTCCTTCCCAACTTGAGATATTCTCTGACTGTGTAATTTTTACACAGACAGATAGCAATAGAACGAAGGGGAATGACTTTAAGCTAAAAGAGGGGAGAGTTAGGTTAGATGTTGGGCAGAAATCCTTTCCCCAGAGGGCGGTGAGGCGCTGGCACAGCTGCCCAGAGAAGCTGTGGTGCCCCATCCCTGGAGGCGCTCAAGGCCAGTTTGGATGGGGCCCTGGGCAGCCTGAGATGGTGGGGGGCAGCCCTGCCCACAGCAGGGGTTGGGGTGGGTGGGCTGTGAGGTCCCTTCCAATCCAAACCATTCTGTGATTCCATGATTTTCATTTCACACATTGCAATGTTTTCAAAATGATAAAAATTAGATCATTTTTAAAACGAGTTAAAGCTGTGAAAAGGACCTGCTCCTCAGTGTTTCCACATGGCCTTCCTCTGCACACTGCAGAAATTTCAAAGCCCCGTTCTAATATGTTAGGCAATACACGAGTGCTAAATTGGTTTCCTTATCTCCCTCCTCAGATGCCAGCTATGTGAACTCTCCAGAGGCTTGAGGATGCCCACAAGGGTAAATGAATCATTTGCTTCTTCTGGATGAATCCAGATGCTCTTTTGCTTGGTTTCTTTTGAATTTTGGGATGTTTTGTAAGACTTGCAGCTATCTGATAAATCTAAAGACACTTGATCATTGAAATGATGCTCATAAAACTTAAGAACCATTGCATATTGCTGTAGGGAGGGCAGCTAGGATAAATGCATACCATTATGCTCCTCCATTGCTGTTTTACCCTTTGATCTCTTCCCTCAACCACTGCACGGAATGGCTATCCCTACTGTTTCCTAATGGCCAAAAAAACAGATGACTACAAACACAATTCTAAGAAACCAGAGCTGCCCGCTCCGTGCAGCGAAAACACTGCTGAACGTGAGATAGTTACGTGAATGGGGAAGGTGCGCCCTTCCCAAGCTCTGTGGGAAGCGCGGGACCAACTCCCTACGGGCCCGGGGGCAGTGAGGCAGCACAACGGCTCCGGCAACGGGGCGGCCGCGCTTCCTGCCGCTGAGGGGCGCTGCGGGGCGGCTGGGGCTCTGCCGGCGGCAGCTGGGGAGGTGCGGGCGGAGCGCGGCGCGCAGCTGCCGGGCGAGCCCAGGCGGGGAGGGGGTGAGGCGGGCGGGCTGCGGCAGGGCTGCACCTGCCAGAGCCCGGCTGTGCCCTGCGTATGTGCGTGCGTCGGGAGCTGCATCCCGCCGGGGCTGGAGTAGTACTTTGCTTCCCCGCCCCGTAGAGCTGCGGAGTTGACATCAGCAGTCTTTCGCCGTCTCGACTGCAGCGGGGATGCTGATAAATACACGCGCTTCTCCCCTAGCGAGGTACCTGGTGAGTCCTTCTCTTTTTATCGGCAAGCTTTTAGAAACGATGGTTTTTATTATGTTTATTCTGCTTTCCTGGAGAGAGCAGAGGAAGAGAAAACCTGCGGCAGGGGTCCCGGCGGAGAGCTGCGCGGTGCCGGGTTAGACTGCGCTGCTCCGGTCGTAGGCGCCCTTCCATGCCCGGGAGCGTGGGCTGCGCTCGCCCCGCTCCTCTGCACGGACAGACCGAGCGCTGCTGCCGTCGGGAACCTGACCGGAGCTGTGTTTTCTTTCTTTCTTAACGCTTTTTAGTCCACGTTACTATGAAAACTGAAGGTAATAGACTTCGCCTGACAGCGATGCTGCAGGCAGCTCTCGTTCGGCAGAAGTGGCGACAAGAATGGGGCAGTTAGTTGTCCTCTCCGTGGGTGAGTGGCTCCGTGGAGCTCAGGTGGAGAGCAACTCTCTGTCGTGTGCTGTCCGAAGTTTTCTTCTAGCTTTTTGCTTTGCCTGGTGGCACTGAGAGGCATGGATTAACAATCAGTAGGTCGTGCTGACATTAGGCTTGATGATCTTGAAGGTCTTTTCCAGCTTAAATGATTCTATGAAAAGCAACCTATTTTACTATTAACTGAAATTATCTATAATTCACATATAGTCATCTGGGTTACTCGATAGTTATTGAGTGCCTCTGCCCAAATTCATATTTCAACATATTGAGTTCAGCGGGCATGGTGGTGTGATGGGCTGATGGCTGGATTAGATGATCTTAGTAGTCTTTCCAACATTAACGATTCAGTGATTCTATAAGGAGAAGTCGTACCACAAGGAAGAGTGAGTTAGAAGATTCTGTTCCCCAGAGCCGTGACTTTGGGAGCTTGGTGGGCTGTCAGCCAGGGGTGAGCTCCTCCTGAGTGTGAGATAATAGAAGAGCAGGGAGTGCGAGAATTACTTGTGAAGTCTATAGGTGGTATTGCTTTGCTGTATGTGCTTCAGGTGAGAGGTTTTTGTGCAAGATGCAGCCCAATCCAGTATATGAAACATCTAAAAAGCCCTTGCTTTAACAGCCTCTCAGACTATGTGGCCTTGAGTAGATCAAAAAGGATGAAGTAAGTGGTTGGATCAGTGTTTAGGAATGTAAAGGTGAGAAATAATGGGCTTTTAAGTCAGGCTAGGAAAGGTTTAATATCATCCAGGGTTGGAAACTTGAAGTTTGACATCTTGAGGCTGGAAAGGCATTTTTTTTCAAATAGCAACATTTATTAGACTGCTTCTCCCC